CACCCGCTGAGAACAAAGTTCCCGCAGACCTGGCAACAAGCTCCGCGCTGATGGTTTAACCTCCAGGCGTAAGGGCAAGGCCTGTGCTGGAGGAGGAAGGATTCGGCCCGGAGGCCCAGGCGCCGCCGGCCGGCAGCGACTGCCAGATGGTTTCGGCACCGCCTCTGCTCGCGGCGGCCCCGGCTGAGCAGGGAGCTCCCGGCTGCCGGCGGAGCCTGGAATCTTCTAAGCCCCAGTTACTAGAAACCGATTTTTCAGTTTCGGGCAACACTGTCATATTCATCAAGCCCCACACTTGGCACGTGCTGCGTTACGCTGTAGCATCATGGCACAGCTACTGATTTTCAGATGTGTGGGGTTTTTTTTGATATTCAGTTCCGCCCGGCTCCCCTAAAAATATGCAAAAATATCATACAGAACCTGGAGAGACTTTTCCTCCACCTAGTACGCAGAACTGAGAAAACGTCCTACGGATTTTCAAGGAAAATGCACAGACAAAGAAGTTAAAAACCCAGGAAAACCAAACCAAACAAACCCAAAAGGAATCATTGCTCAGTTAGCATTAAAAAGACCGTAAGTCTGCTTAAGACAATAGTTACTTAGGGTTTTGGTTAGTTTCTGTCAAAAATATATTTTAAAATTACGTGGCCGTTTGAAATACTCCTTTTGCTTTAAAGTGGTAAAGCTCAGCACCCAGCGAAAAGTGCTGCAAAATAAACCAAATCTTGTTTGTTGTACATCCAAGTATTTTCTACAAGAAAATTATGCATGTAAATGTCCGGAGACAAAAGAAAAGCATGTGTCACCTTTTCAACAAAAAGGCTGCAAAATCTCAGTTTTATGTAAATAAGCAGGCACAGCTTCCAAAGGCTTTAAAACCAGGGAACGCTGAAAACGTCTATAGTTCCTCAACTCAAGTGTTGCTCCTGGGCAATGCTATAATATTCATTAAAGAATCCATTTATCAACAGATACCACATGTCAGAGTTTTCCAGCGCAGTTTTCCTAACACTCCGCTGAAAACGATGCTTTAAAAAATTTAAAATGGAAAGCAATAATCCGAGATGCTTTCGCCTGCTGTTTCATTCCACAATAGCTATTAGCAACTAAAGAAGCAAAGATTTACACTATATCCTTTCTGATAACGTCAAGCATTATGCTTTATTTTCCAAATCATTAGCATGCACAAGAATGACCTCATGGTGAACAGATGCACTTGGATATGGCAGTGATTAGATCAGTCCTCTCAGCAGTCAAGTGTGCCCATTTCAATTAACCCTTTGAAGCACTAACTGCAAGTCTGCGCTGCTGAAAAGCAGGTTTGTAGGTTCTCTTGAAAGTAGAAATCTACCCATGTAACTATAAACCCCTCAAACATAAATCTTTCTCTGCTGGAAAAGTTGTATCTTTTCCTTCCTAGAATACCCAACTACTTCCATTTTCTAAGGGTTAACACGATTCTGGCTTCTGATCTTAAATGAAAAAAAACAAAAAACAAAACAAAACAAAACAAAAAAAACAACAAACGCGTTTTAGTCAGCAGAGGTAATTAAAGTTGGAACGCTTCTGTATCTATTTGTGCCTGTTCCATTTTGATGACTTTTTTTTTTTTTTAAAGAACACACAAATATTTTGTTGAATAACTGCTTTTCTTTTTTGGCCGAGGAAGCAAGAACAGAAAAAGACAGCAGCTTAAAACCCCATCCTCTAAAACGAGAGAAATCTGTAGAGGGAAAGGATAAGAATAATTCAATAGTGTTGGATTACTGAGGATTTCCTGGGCTGACTCTCATACCCAGCCTAATTAAAATACAGCATGTAATGTACCAGTTTAACAACAAAGGACCGTATTCTCATCTTTTGTTCCTAATCTGCACATCCCCTAAATGAGTTCAGGGATGTCCATTCTGCCTACCAGGCTGCGTTTTCAGTGTTTAAGATATGCAGGGCAATCCACGATACACGTAGGGAGCTGAAGGCTCTACTTCTCCAAACAGTGAAAGAGGTCAATTGGACGATTTTCACGCGTAAAATGTGGCACCTGCAAGACTATTTGTGACAGGGGAGAGTGAGCCAGGGTGCACTTCAAGAACCCCGTATCCCATCTGAATCGAGGGGAAGCATCCCTAGAGGCAGTATCAGAAAACATACAAATATATTTAGTTCCAATAAATAGATCACCGTTGATAATACACCAACAAAGTGTGTCATTAACAGCTACATATTGGGTTTGTTTAATGCTCTTGATTTGCTTCTTACACTGTGTTAGCTACTAAACCCAATCTCAGTTGTAGTAAAATGCTCACTTACTCATTGACCCTTTCTGTTGTGCACATGAATGCGCAGCGGTGACAGGAGTACAGTTGGGTGGGATTAAGAATAACATCAGGGGGAATTAATCTAAAATTCACCTGGAAAGTTGGAGCTGGGCAGGGTTAGTAGCATCGGCCGCCTTGCTACTTGAGAAGGGGAAACACAGACCTGTGTCAGCTCCGTGATTCAATTTCCCTCTTTCAGAACAGAAATTCCCCTTTTACGCGAGGGAAAGCGCCATCCCTCCCTCTCTCTTTCGCGGCAGACGGGGGTTTGGCGGGCGCGGGGCAGGTGAAGGTGAGCTCGGAGGAGGCGTAACGGCCCGCGGGGCGAGAGCGGGGGCTGGGGAGCACAGAGCTCACCCCGACCCACGCTGACAGCGCTCCGCAACGGCTCGTCATCCCTTTCTCGTTTACAGGCACGCAGAGATGGCTGCAAACTCACTCAAACCGCCCCCGAGCCGGCTCGTTCTTTATCCCCGAGCGCACCCGCAGCAGCCCGCTGGCCTGAGCCTGGGTCAGCTGGGGAAGGGGCCCGGCCGAGGCGGGATGGGAACGCGTCCCAGTGGCAGCGAGGGACACGGCTCCCGGTCACGCGCGGCCAAACGCGCCAGGGGATGGCAGGCAACGTGAGGAGACTCGCTGAAGCAAAGGTTTTTTTTGACGCCAGAAGTCACGACCGGCCTCTGGTTTCTTTGTGAGCGTGAAAGGAATTCTGGTGTTCAGAAGTTTGAAAACGGGGACCCGAGCGTGTCAGGCTTTACTCTTAAAAAAAAATAAATGAAGTAATGAAATCATAAAAGCGCATCCAGGTACTAATGATTTAACAGCTTTCTGAAAAACTTAAGTAGGTATTACGAAGCAATTTAAATATTTTTGGCATACAAAATACACCACAGACTTTAGAGAGCGTGACTACGGTATGTGACTACGATATCATCAAATGAATCTGTCCTTGCTTGTCAACCTAAATTTGTATATAATAAGATCACTGTGTGCTGTAAGAAGAGCGTGAAAACAAAATACAATTGTGCATAGAGCAAAACATTTAAAATATATCAATACATCTACATTTTTATTTGCTGATAAGTCAGCAGATAAATGATTCAAAGTGCTAACAACACCGGGCATGAAATCTACATTTCCATTGAAACTGATAATTTTTTTTGTCTCAGACTTTTGGCAGAGTGTATAAAAGAATTTAATTCACAGCTGTTCTACTTTTTAATGTAGAAAACATTAATCAAAGCTTTAAGTTATAAGCTTTTCTAATGTTGTTTAGTATTCCAGTTCAACAAAGATCAATAGAGGCCATCCCTGTGTTTCTTGACGCCTCTCCAGGAAGCAGAGGCGCGATTATGTAAATAGCACCGGTTCCCCTTTACTTCTGCCAGCTTGCTTATCTCCAAAGCCTTCTGCCTGCTGCTACTGGCGACCAATGCAGGGACATGCATACACCTCTTATCTCCTAACAAAGCTCTGAAAGCTCGAGGATTGGAGCCAGTAACGTTAAACAATGATGCACGGCTGATTTTATTTGTAAGTGATTTATTTTAGTAAATTTAATTTCTTCCTTCAATTTTTTTCAGTTTAGATGGAAGATATTCGCTAACAAGTCAGGCTAAAGAGAAGTAGAGCAGATGTCCTGCAACATTTATATAGGTTTGAAATAATCTATTAAACAATCCGAAAGAGTAGCAGGGAACAATTGGGAAGTGCCAGTTTCACCCAATGAGTGTAAAAAAGAGATTAAGGAATCTTTGTTAAAGAGTCCAACAAACACACGGTGACCGTACACTTTTTGGAGGCTGGAAAAACAAATCCTGAGGGTACTAGAAATCTGCATTTCAGAGTCAGAGCTTCTGTTCAGGAGACGTTTATTTAAACTCAATTAAAACAGCAGAGTAGCGGCTCCTATCTTACTGACTGCAAGCTAATTTAAAGTCCCGATAGGGCACATAAGGAATGAATTCACAGAGTTCAGCATTACGTTTTCATCTTTCAGTAGGGCTGATGAGTGATAATCAACATTACTGTGCGTGTATATATACACATACACACACCCCCCTACGCGTATCCATACATATATTAAAAAAAAACAAAAAACAAAAAACAAAACAAAACAAAAAAAAACCAAACAGGTTCCAGGCGAGGTGTTGGAAGGAAGCCTGAAACTTCCTCATCTATATTTAAGGGAAATGTTAGCATACTGCACACTGCTATGATTTTCTAACAGAACACCGTTCTTACATTTCTTTTGCATTAATCCCTGACCCTGGTATCTCAGCAGCATAATCCCCATTTAGCATTAGTAGCAACGGCCTCTACTGTGAGGAACTATTTTTCAATAAGTAAGCACCGATTCAGGCATAGCTTTTGAACAACATATTCCCAGCTCAGCAAGAAACCCACACTCCTGAATGAACCAGAGCACATTACTGAGAGAAAGTTCATTAACCTTGCTGGATTCGGGGGTTAACAGGATAGCTGAAGAAAGGAGCAGAGTGAATAGCTCTGATGCAAAACAAATTAAAATGAATGTCATCATTCCTTTTGATATTCATTAGTTGATTCAGGGGAAGAATGGTCTTCTTAAATTTGCAAGCATTTATCTACAAAAAACAGGTGTACATCTGCTGCTCAAGTGCTTCTTAGTGCTAAAGAGAAGAATAACGTGCAGAGACTCACCAGTTCCACCGAGGGAGTAGCTGGGAGAGGGAGAAAAGACCTGAGCAGCAAAATCCTCAAATGTCATTACTTCTTTATGGTTCTGGATTATTGCTTCGAGGTACAGAGCTCTTTCCTCATAACTGCAACGACCAGGTTAAGGAAATGCGTGAGCAGAATTAAATGCTGTTACACACTGTCCACGAACACCAGCGCTTCAGACCCACAGCAACACTTCCCGGGCTCTACACGGGCACGGACGAGGGGGGACCCAAACTGCCCAGTGCTGCTTAGCGGTTCTGGACGCGAGCAAGGAGGAGGGAACACGCTTAACGGCTTGAAGTGAGGGGTAAAACCTTTCAGCTTCATGAATGAAAAGCAGCGACTCAGTAGATGGGACAGATTGCTGAAGTTACGGAGGGCAGAACCAAACCCCCCAGGGCTGCAGGCTTTTTTAAACCGAAACCCAACTTTAACAGACGAGCTGTGGCATTACGGAAAGTTTCTGGTACACGACATCCCTATTGCAATGACCCTGTCAGGCTAGAACAGTGATTAGACTGGAGAAACAAGGTACAGGACAGAGGAGAAAAACCCCCACAAATTTATTTGATCAGTGTACTACTTAAAAGAAATTAACCATAATAAACACAATTGCTGAAGGCGTGAAGTTTAGATTTAAGGCAGGTGCTAGAAGGTATAATCTTATATATCCTAAATAAGTGATGCACGTCAGAAAAATTCACCCCCCAACTTGCATGCATTATAGTCTGCATAATGCAGACAACAAAGCAATCTAAAATCAAGACTATTGCCTTTTAATTAAAACTCGTCAACCTGGAACACACAGCATTCAAATGTGTAATCAAAAACCAGTCACCAATAAAACTTACAAGCGTAACAAGCTGAAGCAACTTTCCAGCTGTCTTAATAGGACCCCTGCTTGCGGCAGCTTTTCACAGCGGAGAAAGCAAATCTTTTCCTTTTGTGTGCAGCTTCTGTTTTCTCAGAAGGTGAATCATACACTTCCAATAACAGCATAACGTCTGAAACAAACCTACAATGGGCTGAAGAACCTCACGTATGACTTTATGAATTAACGCTTGCAGAAGCCAGGATGACATCTCATTCTCTGTTGCCTCATTTAAAACAAAAAAGTTTTCAGATCCTCACTGTGTTTCTGTTACGGGGAAATGCATTCTAACTCTGCAAGGCTGTTCTGCAAGAGCAAAGGCCAATTTAAATTTAGAAATTAGGAGCGGCGAGAATAACACCAGTGACAACATAATGCAGGTGAGGGTATTTGAAATTGAAAAGCATTACTAATTAATATTGAAGTGCCATTTGTGACTTTCCTTACGTTAGCAAAACCATTCTGACAGAATACTTGAGGAAAAAAAAACAAAAAGTGAGTAAAGCGGTACTTAAAAACGGGACACGGTGGTCTAGTGTTCTACCTCAAGGGGAATGAGCAAAGCGCGACTTAATTGTATGCCGGTTTCTATAGGCATGGTGGCAAAAAAAAAAAAAAAAAAAAAAAGAATTTTGCTTTTAAGGCTAGCAGAGGATGATTGATACGTGATAAATCTTCTTATAAACTTCCCGCGGAAGCTTGAAGAAAGAAAATCAATACATAGCATCTCAGAGTTTGCACCTGCTGACAGCGTTATTTGCTTAGTTTTCCTCTCTCTTTCCCCAAGCCCAGGAGAACGCATTCCTGCCAGCGCAAGCATCAGCCCGCCTGCGTTTGGGGCTGCCTCCCTATTATGGGCTGAACTCCTGATGACTCTTGTTAATGAATAGGCTGCCAAACTTCCTAGGAGAGGAGGCACACGCCCGGGCCCTATTCTAAAGGGACTGACGGATGCCATTCACTTCTCATTATGAAGATGCTTATTCCGCGGCGCGCTCGGCTGTTGCCAGGGCCGGCGGGGAGCGGGCGGCCGGGCGAGCGCCGGCCCCGCTGACAGCGGGACGCGGGGGCTGCGCGGCCGTCTGGCGAACAGCCCCTCCGACACGGAGCTGGCACGTGCTGGCGCAGCGGGAACAGACCCAGGCGTGACAAATTACTGAAAGGGCTCGGCGAAACTTGCGGCTGACGGCCACCTGAGCCTGCGAGCCGGCCATCAGCGCTCGATTCGCTGCGCAGCCTTTTAGGCTGCGGTCTGCTTGTGGGCCCGCTTTAAACAAGGCGGGGAGGCTAGAAAGGCTTTTCATGCTATGCCTAATAATATCCTGCTGTTTAATGAAAGGCCTTGCACATCGAACACATAAGCATACAATGCGCAGAACAACTGCTAACACACCAGAAGTTTGTTCCGATTTTGCTAAATATTGCACGGAGAAAGAGAGTGAGGAGGTTTGGAGTAGGTTAGCTTTACGTCTCGTAAAGTCCTTATTTATGAGATGGGAGATGCTCCTAACCACACAAAAGACTGGGAAAAAAACCCACTCGGCCCAACAGCTGGGCAGCTAGAGGAGAGGCATCTGAAATATAACACACTGAGCTGAGTTTAAGCCACGGCCCAGAGCGCTGTGCAGATCGATCAGCGGCTTTAGAGGCGCACGAGGAAGACCCCAATTCAGGGCCGCTCTTGCAGATTAAAAAAAGCTGAAAGCAGTAGGTGCAGATACCACGGGCTTGGCGAGGAAGACCTCTGCAGAAACCGGCGGTGCTCCGCCACTACCCTCCCCACGTCCCCCCGAAGCACGACGACAGCAGCACAGCGGCTCCGGGTGAGGTGCTCCTGTGAATTTTCACTTACAGCCGAATCTAAAAAGCATGAAGTCACTGCAGGAAAATTAAACTCTCTGCTATCTCTAATTTAATACGTACACATTCAGGGAAAACTATTAGGATTCATTAAAAAAAAAAAAAAAAAAGTCAACTAAAGTTTTACCAAAGGTTAAGAATTTTAACGGAGGCATTAGGAACATAACAAACAAGCTGTAGTGAACGTTCTGAAAACCAGCCCCAGCTTGTAAATACAGGCCAAGAAAGCAGCATGGCATCACAAACACCATCCGATCTCTCGCGCAAAATCTTTGTTCTGTAACTTGTTCAAGTTGCGCTTCTCGTATGCAAACAAACCCACCGGTTTTCTACTTAATTGTGTTTCCGTCAGAATGTTCTGTAGGCATCACTACAATAGTCATCTGTCAGACACCCTGGAGTCCCAAGTAATGTATTTTGAGGATCTGAGAGAACATACCATACCCGAAGAACAATAATATCAGGGGGCTGGGGGGCTGGAGGAGAAGACTCAGCATTTCAACACCGTTTGTAGAGGAGCAGTCTGAAGCAGTAATTTTCAACTGCAGCCTCAAGAAACTTTGTATTTATCACCATGTTCATAACGTTTTCATCCAGATAATCACTAGTGCAAGGCTCCATCGGTCAAAGTCGCAGCCCTCCTAAGTGTGCTGTGCCCTCATCCTTAGGAACCAGGGATGCTGTTTTACTGACACGTTAGAACGTTAAGCTGAATCTTTTTAATATGAAACTTGCGTCACCTCTCTCCCGCGAGCTTTCAGCACAGCATATCTGACACAAAGATGCCCACAAATGCTAAGCCTCGTTGCATTATTTAGATCAGGTCAGTAGGCACAGAGTACCATGCGAACTACTGCTTTTTTAAAAATGCAACACATACATCAGCAACCGCCCGCTCCCGGCTCGCTGCCGCGCTCTGGCTCGAGCGGGGCCAGGAGAAAGCCTGAAGTGCCTGGCTGGCGTTTCTGCAGAAGCCTCCAGGCTAGATTGCTGAAGTGAAGCATGCAAATCATTCTCTGAAGACGGCCTGGCTGCGGAGAGGATGGGTTATGATCTTGAACCCTACCCCGGTGAAGAAGCTGGACAGCTGGCTTCCCTGATTAACTAAGCCCCCATTTATCTGGAGGTTTTGGGCGTCCCCTGAGATCTTCAGATAAATGGAGTTATACGAGACATTCGGAGGAGCTGATCAAAAGCAGCCTCTTTTAATATGTATGGCAATTTGACCCACCTCTTCAACGACTGCATTATTTTACATTTCGCTTCCACCGAGGCAAAACTCCAGAGCAAAATGTTTTCAATGGCTGCAAACATTTTTATTTATTTCATGTATTAAATGATGTAGAGAGCCATGACAAGGTGTGAATTATTGACCAGGAATATGTATCAATGTGGGAGAGCAGGAATTTAGCTCCAATTTGAATACAGCACTCAAATCTCAGTATTTGACTATTATGAGCTTTTATAACTGTTTTATCAGTTTATAAATTAACTATTAAAATAAAAATTCAAGGCTATAACGTAAGTTGTTGGAAAAAAACATTAAAATGCTAAGATTACCTATTGACAGCAAACCATGTCATCCTATTGCAATCAGCAGGATGATCTGTGAAGTTCTGTGGTGAAACACATGCAGGACCTCCTTCCCGATGGAGAATCCAAACAAGGACAAAAGCTAGAATTTTCTGAAAATTCACCAGAGACGTGGGTACCAGCCAGTGCACGGCTCTGACCTACGAGCATCGCTTCCACATTTAAACTCTGCAACTTAGAACCAGTTTCAGACACACGATCGAAAACGTAAAGACTCTGAAAAGCCTTCCAAGTCCTCATCAGCTGGGTTCTGCAGGTGAACTGAGCTGTCCTGGGGTCAAGATCTGTCCAAGATTTCACTCTCTGCACGCACACACGTTAAATCATAAATAACTACATATTTAGAAACAAGGCGAATACAGAAGACAATTATTCAAACTTATCCTGAAAAGTAAGAATTTTTGCTTATTAACCTTCACTCTGTGCTGACCTCAAGAAAAAATATCAGCTACTCATCACTGCTGATGCTAACGGCCATCAATTCCTTCCCCATGCTTTTTCTAGGGGAAAAAAAAAAAAAAAAAAAAAAAGGCAACATTTATATACTCTCACCAATATATGGAAACAACTGCGTATTTTGTTGACACAGCACCTCTTCATGCAAATAAAAGACAAAATTATTTGTGGGTTTGTGAACAGGCAAGGAGAGAACTGGCTGGCTACTCTCCACGGCTCGCTGTTTGTAGCGTGCCAACGCCAAGGGGCTCTAGTCCCGGGACTGGAACCCAACCGCTCGGCTCCACGGAGAGCACACACTGAGACGACTGTTCCTCCGGC